CACACAGACAGGGTCGTCCCAATATGCGTTTTTGCAATTTGCATATAGGCGAAAACGCATAAAAACAGACTGAATAAGCTGTCATGGGAATATTTTGGCAAGCTTCGTCGTGATTTTTCGAGGCAAAGATGTTTGCAATTATTGCACAAGAATTTTAAAAATTACAAAGTCCTGAACAAAGTACGAGAAACTGCTGAAATCGCTAAATTCACTGCTACTTTACCAGTTTTTGTGCGTCTAGAGCTGCAACAGTGGTGTAAAACGCGTATTGTTGAGGTCCTCTGAGTTCTGTGTTCAGATCTTCGTCGGTTCTTGAACTTAGCAACCAGAAAAGCTAGCAAGCTAAAATTTTTAGAAGATGCTTGTGTCCCATACGTGACCCTCTAAATTAAAATTCAGCTTTTCTTTATGCCCAGGCTTAACGCTTGCAGGAAATTTCCTAACTCGGGGACCAGAAAAAACAGCTCAAATTTCGGAATGATATTTTCTGTCCTTGGAAATTTGGTATTTTTGATCTATTTTTGATTAACTATGCAATCCTTTAATGCTATTCCATAAGCCGAACTGTTGAGGCACATCATGAAAGCATTTTCTATGGTTTTTTTTCCAAGAATACGCAGCTAAACACGTAAAAGGAATAACCACAAAAACAAGATGAACATGCTCACAGTGCCAGTTGTAAATTCCGCCGGAAGAAAAACCAACCATTGAAGTTTTGCAGCGGAGCTGTGTAGGGTGAACAGGACGGGAAGTAGAATTCAATGCCACGTGACCAGCGAATCCATCTGCCCTAAAAATTACTAACGGATGTTATCAGACACACGGATACAAAATGTGTTTGTAATGATGAATTCAGCAACTTAACGACTCAAGAAATTTTAACAGTTTAGTAAAAAAAAAACTATGAAATTTCTTACAACTTCACTAAACGTCGTAAGAAGCTCGACCCCATTTTATAATGCTCCCGAAGCACATGAAAAGATCACTAGGCAGTGCGTATAGGTGAAACTCAAAGTGCACCCACATAGATTATCCATACGAAGCCAAATTATGCTATTTTCCTTGGCCAAAAGTGAGAAAAGAGCAGCAAGGAACGAATATCTTACGAATATCGGCTTATTTCGCTAAACAGCGAGAAAAAAAAACATTCGCTCACATATATCTCCTACTGCACCACCTGAAGTTTGAGGAGTAAGAGCTATAGCCGCAACGAAGTTGACAAAATGAGACATGAATGTGCAACCAGTCGCTCTTCGCCGTGGGAAACATTGCGCCAAAATCAAAAGCTAACGGTGTGATCATGTGCTTTGTGCAGTTCTGAAACTCAAAGCTAGAAAGATGCCAATAACCTCCCGTACGGAATATCGCTTGTTTCTGAATGCAAGACGTAGGCGTACGTAGAAGCTGAATTGAATTTGCGACGCCGAAGCATGAGTAGGAATCATTCTCCCAAAATTTAGCTTTCTGGCATTTTTGGTTGCTAAGTTGAAAAACGCGTGCAAAAATCCGAAAGCATACACGTATACACGCAGCATACACGTATACACACAAGCATACACGTCTTAAAAAAATGAGGTTTGCACCGTTGACATGGTGTAAATCGTATAATAAAAATCTGTGATAATATGAGGAATACTCAAAGTTTGGAGAAAGGGCAAAAGTGACTAACAAAACATAGATAAAGAGCCATGCGAGCGTAGAAGAGTGTAACCACATCTTACTTCTGCATCTTAAAAAATTCAGGATGCGGTCCCACTGAGCAATTTGTTAAAATTTACGGTCAAACTTATTTACTTCATCCACAGCTTGCTCTTGGAGAACGCATTCAAACAGCTAACCATTAAATCGCAAGTATAGAAGGCTGGTACCGGCTGAACAAATGTATGATTTTCATAACACTCAACAAATGCTATTTTCCGAGCGACTCCATTATGAACCGTTTGAATCGTAAAGTTGGCGCCATGCGGTTGAACTGGTAATGGACAATCGGCTGCTCTTACTACAACGTCAAATTGGCAAATACCAATATTTCCAGCTTCATCTTTCGCCACATACATTACATGATATTTGCCCCTGGATGTACCACATTACTTTTTTCACTCGCGTGATCCTTATTTTTCAATTCTTCATTATTCAAAGATTTTTTTTTTTTTTATAACCGTAATGACTGCCGCATAAAGTGATACTGCAGTGATGTTTACAGTACATATTTTGTATCTCCCGTTGGATGATTTCAGCTATGATTCGAATGATCGTATAAAAACATGATTTTTTGACAGCGAAGGATCCGCACGAATTGGGATACAAATCATTCGATGTTTTAGACGAAAACGAGTTTGGAAGTGGCTGGGTTACTTATGTATACGCAACTGCTTAAACTGTTCGGCACGTCTCTTTATGTGTGTCGAATAAAGGTTGTATTACCCAAGTTTGAGTTTGAGGTCTTGCTACTGTGAACTCGGACGACGTGAGACAAAAGAATTGTTGCAACCAGTGAACCATCTAATTTCTTCATTCTGAAACATCTGAATCGGAATTTAAGTTTCTACTTTTTATGCGTTTTTGCCTATATGCAAATTGCAAAAACGCATATTGGGACGACCCTGTCT